TCCCATGTATCCCATGACCTTCTGAAAACTGTTATGTAGAGGATAGAGAAAAGTTGGACAGTTAATGAAATGCAGTATCCTATACTGTTATCATTTAACCATCTGTTCCTTCATTTAGCAGAAAAGTAAGTGTATTTACTATAAAGAGACTTGGCATTTGAAGCTTATCTAAAAAATAAGAAGACACCCTGAAATATGTCCCTTGGGTAACTAGACATCTGCTTAGAGAAATTGGGACTGGTGAGGCTGTGTTAAGACAGATATGTCTGATTCCGAATCCTACCATTTGGCTAAGGAACCCAAACTCAAAACCGGGGCCCTCTTAGTGTTGAGGAATAGGGTGTGACCTCATTCCTAAGGGACAAGAAATCAAAAAGGAACAAAGGCAGACAGATCAAAGAAGTGGCAAGGGACTTTAGAAGATCAGAAGGTAGCTCCCTAAACTCTGGAGTAGTTGGCCTTACATTCTATTTTCATCCTGTCTTAGATAAATTCACAGCCTGTGGTCAGGGAAGTGGCTACTGGACAGCCAAGTGGGGGAAGGAGGAACAGTGCAGTGTTGAAGGACTGGTTAAGACGAGAGAAGTCAGGAGCATGAGTGAGGGTGGGGAACAGTGGACACAGTGGCATGGGATTGACCACCTGACAACAGACAGGAATCTTTCCTGTGAAAATGCTGTGAGATAGACTAAGTGAAATTTTAGCAGTTATGAAAAACTTTACCTTTGTTTACATTTTAAACTACTAGAAATAAGGTACAAATTAAGCATTTTTTGTTAAACCAAATCTTATCTCATTGTTACTATGTCAAGGCTCTGTTCCCATGAGAAAGCTTAGGGATATTTTCTCCAGTGTAGAGTACAGAATATACTTAGGGATCATAATAATTGCTTTAAATAACTTTCTGTTTTAATACTACATAGTTTGTATTAATCATTTTTAGGTTAATTATGGGTTATATTTGCATAATGCTTCATTTTTTTATAAAAACACTTTCCCAGGGTGTCTGGGTGGCTCAGTCAGTTTAGCATCTGCCTTTGGCTCAGATCGTGATACCAGGGTCCTGGGATCAAGTCCTACATCAGACTCCCTGCTCAGTAGGAAGTCTGCTCCTCCCTTTGCCCCTACCCCTGCTTGTGTTCTCTCTCTCTCTCTCTCTCTCAAAAACAAATAAAATCTTTAAAAAAAAATTTCCCATATATTCTCTCATCTCAATTTCCCGATATCTAAAGCTCATAAAGAAATTCTGTTTCTCATTTTAGAGATAAGAATTTTTAAACTCAGTTTGATTTTAAACAGTACTGTCTTTTATTGAATGATTAAACATAAGGGAACCTACGCTATGCTCTTTAAATGTATTATCTCATTTAATCTTCATGATTAAACTTTGAGATTGTTAACATCTCTATTTCCTGTGGTTCTAAAATACCACAAGCTGAGATTTGATTGATTCCTAAGTCTGTGGTTTGAAATCACTGCAGTTTACTGAAGATGTGATTTACCTAAGCTCACTGAGCTAGTAAGTGACAGAAGAGGAAGTAGAAATAATCTAAAGTATACAGTTAAATAGTTCATGTAAAGAATTCTTATGTTTTTGGAAATTCTAAAGATTTAAATGTTTTAAGCAACGCTGTCTTTACCCTTCCTTCATATATTTAGCAGACTTCATTAGATGGAAAAGTCACATGGAAATACTTAGCTAGAATTAAAATAAAGGTAATAATTTTGCATTGAAATATGGGTGTTCAGTTAATTCAAGGAGTTAATTTTGAGTGCTTAGTATATAATGTGCTTCAGTCTACACAACAATAGGTAGGCAGTGTCCCTCTCTGAAGAAATTTTGAGTCCTTCTTTACAGGATTATGTTTAATAGATCTGAATGTTATTGAAAGAGATTACTGAGATTCTAAAGTACGATTTCTGTTCTGCTTTGGAGGAAGGATATCAGAAGAGGGAGAAATGATTTTGTGCAGACTGAGGTGTATACTCATAAAACTGAACACAAAAAAGAATCTGACCTTTACTATGAGAGAGAAAAATAAGTGCATTGGAGGAGCATGAGAAGAAAATTGTTGTATCATATTGAAGTAGAAGGGGAATCAGCAAAGGCCTCAAGACATAGATGATGTTTGAAATGAGCCTTCATGAGTGGATAGAAACCCAAAAAGCATATAAAAATAGGGCAGTCACACACAAAGAGTATAGTGTAAGTGAAAACAAAGACTGTGGTTTCCCGTATACACAGAGTGCATGTAGACTAACAAAAAAGACACAAGGCTGAAAACCAGGACCTCGTAGAAGTTCTTGAATACGAGGGTGAGGTCTTTGAGAGCAAATGTAGTGGAGTGAAAATCAAATACTGGGCTGGAAGTATGAGATATATGTGCAAATTTCAGTGGTGACATTATGAATTCAGTGAACTTGGGCAAGTCAGTTCATCTCTTTAAGCTTTAACTCCCTCACCTGCAGTATGGGCGTAGTGGTGATTAAAGGTTGAGTGTGAATTTAAAAATTTGTTAAGTTTTTAAATTAGCCACTTGGGTGGCTCAGTTGTGAAGCATTTGCCTTTGGCTCAGGTCATGATCACAGGGTCCTGGAGTTGAGACCCACATCAGGCTGCCTGCTCAGCGGGAAGCCTGCTCTTTCTTCTCCCACTCCCCCTGTTTGTGGTCCCTTTCTCACTGTGTGTCTCTCTCTCAAATAAATAAATAAAATCTTTAAAAAAAAAAAAAAAGAAACTTATATGGAAGTGCTCTGAAAACTGCAAAGCACAACAGGAGACATCATGGCCATGGTCACCATCATATTGTTATATATATATAATCGTATGTGAAGATTTTGGAGTAGTGAAGCTTTTTGTCTGCATCTGTAGTCTAGGGAAATTGAGTTGGCTAGAGTGTAGTGGATTGATCAATAACAAAAGAAACAGAACCACTAAGGGAGCTATTAAAGTAATTCAGGTTAAAAGGTGTGATTAGGATGGCAGAGATATTGCAGAGATACTATTCAATTTGGCATTCATTCAGAAATATACTGAGCACCCACTTTGTTCCTGGACACAAACTTGGCAGTCCTGCTTAATAGCCTCCTCCAAAGAGACAACAGGGATAGATACAGGATAGAATGGGAAGATACTTGGGGCTTTGGGGAGCAGAGGTAAGACCAGAGAGGGATAGAGAAGGTCACTGGATCTTCCTTTGCTTTCCATTGGTGAGACCTCTGTAACAGCAGAATGGAGGGAACATCTCAAATGTCTACGAGCTTAACCCACCTATGGCGCAGGTGTCAAGGTGGTCGAGAGATGATAAGTAAATCCTTCCAGGTGGATTTGACCTTCCCCTCTGCTCCCTCTCTGTGTGGCTCTGCACTATCCAAGGAGCTGAAGGAGGAGAGTTACCTTAAAAAAAAAAAAAAAAAAAGTGCACCTGAATGTTTATAGCAGCAGTGTCCACATAGCCAAACTATGGAAAGAGCCTTGCTGTCTGTCAACAGATGAATGGATAAAGAAGAAGTGGTATATATATACAATGGAATACTATGCAGCCATCAAAAAAAAACCCACAAAATCTTACCATTTGCAATGACATGGATGGAACTAGAGGGTATTATGCTAAGTGAAATAAATCAATCAGAGAAAGCCAATTATCATATGATCTCTCTGATACGAGGAATTTGAGAGACAGGGTCAGGGGTCGTCGGGGATAGGGAGGGAAAAATGAGACAAGATGGCACTGGGGAAGGAGACAAACTGTAAGAGACTCTTAATCTCAGGAAATAAACTGAGGGCTGCTAAAAGGGAGGGGGTTGGATAGGGCGGCTGGGTTATAGACATTGGGGAGAGTATGTGCTGTGGTGAGTGCTGTGAATTGTATAAAACTGATGATTCATAGACCTGTACTCCGGAAACAAATAATACATTATATGTTAATAAAAATAAAAATAATAAATAAATAATAAATATATATTTTTTAAAGGCACAAGACCACTCTTAAGAATTTCTTTGATTTGAAAAACGTGACAGAATCCCTTTTCCCCAAGGGAGGTGAGAAGATGTCTTCACCTAAAAAGAGTTTCTCACTTTTCCTAAAATGGATCAACTACCGCTTCTATGCTTGCTTAGGTTTGAAAGTGGAAGGAAGTTTTTAAAGCGGGGGGGATTCAAAACTTATCTGTAAACGCCAAGTAAGTTTGCTGGTAATCAGAAATTGATTGATCCAATTTAATTGTACAATCATTTAGTAAATGCAGGTACCTTCCAGGAGATGGAACTGAAGAAGAAAACTGCAAGTGTATAAACAGCACTCCCCCTCTCTCACGGTTTAGTGAAAGTTTCTGTCAGAAAGCAGATGACAGATGATTGTGTGTTGAGCTAAAGTTGTATTCTTAATACTGTGTTATAATAATGACACTTCTTCTCTCCCTCCCACCCTCCCTCCTTTTCTCTCTATTTCGTACATGTGACTTGTTTTTTTTTTTTTTCTCACTTCTAACTGAAGGAAATTTTTATGAGGACCAAAGTGTTGTGTGGGGCTTATTGGAAACTCATCCTAATACTAGTTTCTACTAAAATAAAGACTCCTCTCATAATGACCCTAAAGTCACTTTGTACATTCCTACAGAAACACCCTGTGAATTTTTGTGGGATTGAGTCTAAACGAAGCAGCCCCCTTTGTACAGCGTTTCCCATAGAACTTTTACTACTAGGTTGTCCCTTTACTCAGGAGCTTAAATGAAGCGAAAATAGGACAGCCTTGCAGACCTTTTTAAGATACAAAGGGAGCATGGGGATAGCCATGGAACCAAGAGTTGGTAAAATTAGGAAAAGAGATCATGAAAGCAGATCTCACATCCTTTTTTTAAAAAAAAAAAAAAATCCCTTTCATTCTTTATTCATCTCTTCATTTCAATCCCTTCCTGTTGTTATTAAGGCAGGCTCTAATAGCTACTGACTTTAAATACTCCCTGTATTACAGTGCTGTTTGTTTTTTCTCACCATTTAGGAGATGACCTGGCTCCCACCACTTTCTGCGATTCCAGCACCTGGCAAAGTGGAACCAAGCAAATTTCCATTTCCAAATAAGGTGAGATCTTGTAACGCTCAGGAGCAATATGTTTTACTCACGTAGAGATTTCGTAGTGGATAGTGGGTTTTCCCGTGATTTTTCTTCCCCTGTAAATATTCCTACCAGAGGCATATGGCTGAATTTCAACAGTCTGCAAGCATGTATTTATTCGTCAAAGGGAGAAAATTAAGCTTCCACTTCCCTACTCTCGGCAAAATGTGATGCATATTATAGTTGTCATTTTTTAAAAGATTTTATTTATTTATTTATGAGAGAGAGAGAGAGAGAGAGAGCATGAGGGGGGGAGGGTCAGAGGGAGAAGCAGACTTCCTGCTGAGCAGGGAGCCTGAAGTAGGACTTGAACCTGAGACTCCAGCATCTAAAGGCAGTTGCTTAACTAACTGAGCCACCCAGGTGCCCTATAATTGTCATTTTATCTAAAAACATTTGTGAAGTTGAAATGCACCATATAATCATCTTACACATTCAGTGTGATTATCTCTTTTTTTTCCTGAAAAACTATTATTAAATTAATGATGTATCTTAAAATCAGTGTCTTGGAATTGAGGACATGTAGTATATAATTCCTCTTTGGTATCTTTTATAAACCTTAAAATATTTTCTAGGACTTTAAAAAAATTTTCTTTTTCTAAGGACAAACACACACTCAAAAATTAGCCACAATATATTTAAATTATACACAAGTCTAATAGGTTTTATGTTTTCTAACCATGTAGCTAATATATAACTACATATTCATAAAGATGAAATTATGCAGATAGAAGAAGCAAAATATGAAAGTGTCTGGTACCCTCGTCCAGATTTTATTTCCCTACCCAGAATTTACTCTCAGGAGTTTGGTGAATACCATTCCACTCATCTTCCCTGTGCATGATAGACATAAATGTTTATAAGCAGTTTTTAAATTTTTTAAATAAAATAAGCAGTTTTTAAAAACTCTTAGATGGTATAGTTCTAAAAGCATTTCTTCCAAGAGTTGATTCTTTTTGGACACCATGAATGCATATTATTGCTAAATATTAACACTGTAACCTTTTAAAGTGAGTTATTAAAATAACAATTCATTATAATTATCACAGTGGTAAATTTCATTCTGAGCTGATTTTTACTTCCCTTAACAAAAGGTATTTAAAGATCTTTCCAAGTAAAAATATAGAGATATTCTTCATTCTTCTTAATTGCAGCAAAATATTTTACGGTATGAATCTGTTGTAGTTTATTTAATCAAGCTCCTTTTGATGGACACTGAGATTGGTTAGGGTTTGTTATCACAAACACTATTATAATGAACATTATTTCTATAAATGCCTCTTTATATGCCTCTTACTGAAAGTCTCTAGTGTGGATACCTAGAAGAGGAACTGGGTACTTGACTGTGTTTCAGCAGTATTTCTTTATGCACCTTTGCCAGTGTTTAACATTATCTGGTTTTATATCATTCTGTCTGTAGTAGGATAAAAAATTGATATCCCATTGTTTTAATTTGCATTTCTCCAATTACTTCTGAGTTTGAGCATTGACTATTTTTCCTTTACAAATTGCCCATTCATATCCATTATCACTTTTAAAAAATGATTTGTACAAACTCCTTATATCTTATTCATTTGTCTGTTATATATGAAGCAACTATTTTCTTGCAACCTTATTTATGTACACTTTATACTAGCAAAGTGTTTAATTTTTATGTCAGAGAAAAATGATTTTTCCTACTCCAACATTCTAACAATGTTCTCTATTTTATTATCATTTTTATAGTTTGATTTTTGGGTTTTAAAACAATTTTTATAGATGGTATAACATAGGATTCTAGCTTTATTCTTTTCAGTGGTTAGTAAATTATTGTAACACTATCAACTGATTAGCCCATGTTCCTCTCAGTGGTTTGAAATCAAACCAAATCAACAATTGAATTTCTCATAAATACATGGATTTGTTTCACGACTGTCCAGCCTCTTTTTTTCCAGAATATTTATCTAATTCTTTCCCAATAACTCATTTTTGAATCAGAGGTCAACAAGCTTTTTCCGTAAAGGATCAAGATTGTAAATAATTTAGGCTTTGCAGACAATACCTAAATGAATAAATGTGGCTGTGTTCAGAGAAAATTTTATTTACTGAAATAGGTAGTGGCACAATATATAAAGAACTCTTATAACCCAACAATAAAAAGGTAAAAGAATGGGCAAAGGATTTAAATAGACATTTCTCCCAAGAAGGTCTACAAATGCCTGATACCTATATGGAAAGACACTGTCAGCATTGTTAATCATTAGAGTTTCAAATCAGAACCACACAGAGATACTTCTTCATACCTACTTAAATAGCTAAAATCAAAGACAAACAATAACCAGTGTTGACAAGAGTACTGAGAAATTGGAACCCTGCTATCAGTTGCTGGTAGGACCAAAATGATGCAGCCTCTTTGAAAGACACTTCAGCAGTTCCTCAAAAGGTTAAACATCTGGTTATCATATGACCCAGCAATTCCACTCTCAGGTCTCAAGAGAACTGAAAAGGAATGCTACCAGGTGTTATATATTTATTTACTGAACTCCTTTTGATCCTGGGAGACTTTTTTTTTTTTTTTGGTGGACTTACATTTTCCAAAGTGGGGAGAAGAGAATGCGTAGCAATAAAATACATGACATGTTAGATGATGGGATGTAGTGAAGAAAGATAAATCAGGGAGGAAGATAATGAATGCTGATGGTGAATGGAGATGGATGAATTTTAAATAGGGAGCTTAAGAAAGACCCTGCTGTGGAGGTGACACTTGAGCTGAAGGTAGAGAAGGAGTAAGTCATGCAGACAGTGGCCAAAGAATTCTAGCAGATGGAGTGAAAGTGCCTGGATGCAGGAGGAACATCAAGAACAGTGGAGTCGGAGCGAACCAGGCAAGGAGCAGTAAGTGACACCACATTGTCCTGGGCCAGTAGGACCATTGAAAGGACTTGGGCTTTATGTGAACTGAGAAGCTGTTAAAGAGTTTTGCAAATAACAAATATGTTGCATTTTACCCTTCTTACTGTGTCAACAGGAAACTGTACATCTTTGCCATATTCATGACATTAACAAGGATGATTCTAATCATTGAGTGTAGTTGTTATCAGTAGGTATAAGAATTGCTTATTGTATGTCCATCTCAGGTAGATTCCTTCTATTTCTAGCTTTCTGAACATTTTCACGGATTGATTTATTTTTTTCATTTGTAAAGCTTAAGGTATAATTTGCAAACAGTATCCTGCAAGTTTTGAAAAACACATATGCTCCTGAGACCATCACACTCAAGATATAGAAGCATTCCATCACTTATGATTAGTTTCCTCGAGTATAGTGGATTATTCATTTGATACACTTTTGTATTCAATATGCCAATATTTAATTTAGGAATTTTACTCCTGTGTTCATAAGTCACCTTGGTCTAGGTATCTTTTTGTGTATGCTAGTTCAGTTTTGACACCAGGAATATAACAGCCTTCTATAACGATTTCTTTAGCTTTCTACCTTTTTCTGTGTTCTGGGATACTTTATATGATATGCCCTTCCTTAAAGACATAGAGTAACTCAACCATAAAACATACTGTCCATAGTTTTCTTATAAGAGTAGATCTTTAATTGTATTTTCATTTTCTTCTATGCCTATTGGCTTTTTCAAATTTTATACTTCCTCTTGGATTAATTAATCTTTGTTTTTTTCTTTTTTTTTTCCACCTTTGGGATTTTCAAACATCTACATAATACTCTGTTTTTCTAGTAATTGCCTTCAAAATTTTAATACGTTAACCTAGTTAAACTCATTTTTATCAATACCTATAATTAACTCATATCTAAATTCTACCCCCAACTATAAAACCGTTAGTTTTACTTTGATCTCCCTCACCATCATCTCTCAGTTTGAGATTATAATATTTCAAACTGTCATTATTATAGCCATTTTTTAGCATTACACCTTAAAAATTATTTGTTAGTTTCTAAATTGGTCATTGTTTCTTGTATCTCAACTCTTTCTCTTTTTAAGATGTGCTTATTATTTTTGCTAGAGTGTATTTTCAAGCAGGTTTTTAGTCCAGACATGACCTAGAGTCTCTGATAGTCCTTTTTCTACACTTACCTTTAATCCTTCCATATCTCCTCTCTGTTTGTTCACTCCTTCGTTGATTTCATCTAATTATTTCATCTAATTATTGCTTTAAGTACTCTCTGTGCCAAGCTTATGACTTCTGATTTTATGTCTATGGCCTCTTCTCCATCCTCCAAACTCCATACTTGATTTCTGCTTACTTACTCAACATCTCCACTTGGATACCTAACAAACATCTTAAGCTTGATACATCAAACACTGAGCTTTTAATCCCCTCCACAAGCCTTTTATCCCAGTGCTTCTTATTAAGTGATTTCTCCATTTTTGCAGCTGGCTCAGCCCAAAACCCTTGGAATCATCTGTATTTGTTTTCTAACACACCTGTAACAAAATACACAAAGCGGGCAGCTTAAAATAAAAGAAATTTATTCTCTCATAGTTCTGGAGGCTGGAAGTCTGACATCAGGGTGTCAGCAGGGCCATGTTTCCTCTGACGGCTCTAGGGAAGAATCTTTCCTTGCCTCTTCCTAGCTTCTGATGACTTTCATTTCTGCCCCTACATACATAAGGTTTTCCTACTTCTGTGTGTCTCTGTGTCTCTAAGGACAGCAGTCATTAAATGTAGGACCCGTCTTAATCTAGTGTGACCTTATCTTAGCTTGATTTTACCTGCAAGAACCCTATTTCCACATAAGGTCAAATTCACAGATTCTGAGTGGACATGGGCTTTTGGAGGATGCTGTTCAACTCAGTTACACCACCTTTAACTCGTCTTTTGCCCATATCACACATCCAGCCCATCATTAAATCAAGTCTACTCTACTTTCAAAATATATCCCGAATCTAAATGCTTCCCCACCATCACAGCTACCTGCTTGGTCTACACTATCACCTCCTGTATTAATTACTGCAATAG